ATGATCGCTTGAGCTAAAACTCGCCCTCCCCCAAGTGTTGAATCTAGCCTTTTGACTGGGCGTAGCGGCACTAGACTTATTAAAATATGCATGATCAAGAAGCGGTGGCAAGAGCCACATGGCTCTGTAAGTGCTTGAAAAAAACTTTGTGGCGATCAGGTAAGAGAAAAAGCGCTAGGCAACGCTGTACAGTTTATGAAAGCATAAACTTAAAAAGATTACATGCAGTTAACCACTACTGTCATTTTTTAACGTGTTATATTTCTTGGCTTGTGCATTCGATGGCACTAAGTTGTTTTTTTTTTTTTTTCCAATATCCCGTGAAAAACATACTGGCAAAGTTTCACAGCAATTTTTCGCTCTGAGCCCAAAAACATGCGAACATGTATACAGAGTTGTGTGAGAATTGGTGCGAATGTTGCCAAACAAGTCAGCAGCATGTATCATTGTTTATTAACCCGTCAGAATCAGGGTGAAAAATTGAAGGTATACTGTATTTCAAACACACTAGGTTTTTCAACGCCTAGATGATTACGTAATCATTTACCAACTCATACAGAGTGCCCCGCCGCTGTGGTCTAGTGGCTAAGATACTTGGCTGCTGACTCGCAGGTCGCGGGTTCGAATCCCGGCTGCTGTGGCTGCATTTTCGATGGGGGCGGAAATGTTGTAGGCCCGTGCGTTCAGATTTGGGTGCACGTAAAGAACCCCAGGTGGTCGAAATTTCCGGAGCCCTCCACTACGGCGTCTCTCATAATCATGCGGTGGTTTTGGGATTTTAAACCCCACATATCAATCAACCAACTCATACAGAGTCCTTTTGCACAGCTTCATACAACACCTGAACCAATAAATTAGTTGTAGTGCTCGATCATAAAACAAGTTAAAGGTAAAACTTCAAGGAACACTAAAGAGAAGCAATGACTTGGTTTAGATTGATAAACTGAATTCTGAGAACTCTGATACCACAGGTTCATCAATAATGAAGAAAATAAAGATTGAAGTTTTCATTTTTAATTGCGGGCTTAAATCTTCGTATGTGATGTAGCAAGTTTTAAAATGTATTTTTCGTAATTTTGCGACACTGGTTCAAGTAAATTTTCCAAGACATCGTATGCTAGGTCTAGGGCACCCACAGAAGACAATGCACTTCCTTTTTATTGAGTGGAAGCTATGTAGAAACCAGTAGACAGTTTCAAAATTTAGTATATCACGATGTTTGGTGCGGGAATCTCACAGTGGCACCCCCACCTGCATTTTCTTTAGGTGCGTTTTTTCGCTCACCAAGGGTCGTGTAGCGGTAAGAGTGGTATTTTCGGGATTGTAAAATTGTACTTTACTCAGACGTGAAAAATCATTTTAAAGAGTCCCTTAACAATGGCCTCAAGAATAGTGTCAAGTTAGCATAAATGCAAAATGTCCTTTAGGAGGCACTGTTGCAGTCACTTCAGATATTAACACAATCAGTTACAATTATCGCATTGTGGCTTAGTGATTATCTTTGCAAGAGCTACACAGCAAAAAATATTAAATATATGCAGGCATGTACTTTGGCGATATAGTTTTGAGCCTTATCATTGGGCTCGGTAAACCAGCATTAGGACACAAGCAGTGTTTACTTCTGTTCTGAAGTACTATGAGAATAGAAGTAAAAGCAGATATTCACGACTGCATTAAAGTGGCACTTTTGAAACAGAGCCCGCTCATGGGCTGTTTCCATAGTACTTGATGGCAGCACTACTAACAAGAAGATTTAGGATTAGGACAAGAAAGTTTAGGGCCCAAAGAGGCTTTGTGCGTGGCACAATTGAGGTCTGAGGGGTAGAAAACTTTGTCGCTGTGCTTTGCATTTGCTCATATAGCACCACTGCCGTTAAACGGTAAACATGCGACAAAACAGGAATAAAATTCAATAAACTAAATGTTGTGCATATATACAAGGCAATGTTGACATCACTTATAAGTAATAATAATACAAATAATAATGAGAACTAACAAAAAAACAAGCCCTTAAAACTCATCTTCTTTCCTTCAATAACACAAATAAGTTAGACCACCTACAAGCTTGCAATGATTTGACTCTAAATTCCCTTCCATCTACTTTACTGAGTACGGCAAAGCCTTTTTGGTTTTATATAAGCTTCTAGAAGCGACAAACAGCATAAAAAATAGCACCTGCTTCTTATTAAACCTATGCAATTTTCACAAAATGAGTGAAAGTAATAGGCATATGAATGTTGCAGGTTGCTTAAAAGGCTAGTCTGACTTATTACTGTGAAGTGAAAGCTGCTGCCTCAATGGGTGCTTTCTCAAAAACATACACAATTTTTGTGGCAAGTTCAGGATGGCCTACAACACCTTGAATACAGCATGCTCTACACAAGACCAAAATGTTGTTTGCAATTTGCACATGCACAACTAACACAATGAAATTATCTTTAGAGCTAATATTTTAGATCTGTATAAACAATTATATCACACCAGCTTTGCACGGCTCATACACCGTATTTACTCGAATGTAACGCACGTTTTTTTCAAAATCTCTCAGAAGTGATTTGGGGGTCTATGTTATAATTGAACCACCTAAAATTTTGCCTTGGTGCCCCACTGGTTAATTGAAACGCCTACTACAAACCTAGCAATCTTTCAACCTTGCGCTGGCAACATATGCACGCTGGCAACATCAAATCCAATCGAATCCAATCCTCTTGTTTGTAATGAGTTTCATTTTCTTAGTGGGTGCTTCATTTCCTTTGTGCTTAGCGACTTTGGCTCGAGCAAATGGCAGTGCGACTAGTTCAGTACGATGCCCGCTTTAGGAGAAGTGCAATACTGATGGCTGAGAAAATCGGAAACTCAGCCACGGCTCGACGGCAAGATGTGGCGGAAGCTACTATCCGTGGATGGAGGTTCCAGTGTGAAGTGCTCTTGAAGAGTGAACCTGGCCAAAAAGGCTTCCGTGGACCTGGTTAAGACCGTCACACAGAACTCAGGGGAAAAAAAAAAACCAGGCCTGTGTGGAGCATGCAGCAAAGTCACAGCGAAAGCTATAAGAGCGACCTTTCAGAGCCTTTTCCAAACAATCTTTGGGTAACTGCTACAAGCACACTACTGGGTACCCACTACACCATAAATAATTATAATTTTTGTGCAGTAGGCCAGCATTCACTATGCTACCCTTAGTCATTCTTTCGAGAAGCTTGGTATCTGCTACACACTTGTTAGGAATTTTGAGCAATTTTTTAATGCAGAGGCTGACGACGATGACGAAATATGCCTGAAGCAGATATGCGCCACAGTTAATAGGTAATCAAGTACACGTTTCCTAATGGGTTGGGGCAATAGACAACCCACTTGCTACGCAATTCACATTGTGGGACTCCTGGTTTTTCCTTTGATGTTCTCAAGTGCTTCATTACTCATATTAATGCAATTCCTTTCCCGACATCAAGCCAGCCTAAGGCCAGTTTAGAAACGAGTCCAAAAATGGTGTGGCTAAGTGGTAGAATACTGGGCTGGCACGCAGCGGACCCGGGTTTGAATCCCGTTGTGTCATTGGTGTTTTTTACTTGCCGAGTGTTTTTTCATTTCGTACTGGTTACAGATATCGGCCGCGACAGACAACTACGGCTCTGATCTCGTAACAGCTTTCGCTGCAAAATAGCGGCGGAGTTTGTGATTGAGCAGGAAAATCGTCTATTGGGGGGTCAATGTTGAGATGATTCAGAGGAAAGCCAGATACCTAGCTCGAGAGATGGGGATCTCACAGGAGAACTTTAAGGCTTCACGTGGATGGGCACAAAAAATCATGTGAAGAAATAGATTTTTCCCTCCAGCGAAACACGTGGATAAGGCAGAAGCTACCAGCAGATTTCGAAGCGAAGCTAGTGGAGTTTCAGCGCTATGTGCTCGACCTGCGCTGCTCGTCGCAAATGATAGTTCATGGCGAGTGAACTATCATTTGCCGCACGACATGATAGTTCACGCGTTTCAAAAGTACTGTATATCTAACTATATGGATGGCACAGAGGATAACCTCATCTGGGAGGAAAAAATTGACAAAGAGGGCTCAAGCACTGGCGATGATGGCGATGAAATCGACGAATGAACAAAACTCACTTTATATTTAGAAACTGGAATGTCTCTGCCTTTACCATGTGCAGCAAATTAAGGTACTTTTTCCTCCCACTTTACTCACATTACATTCATGTTTTGTTTTTTTTTGGCACTGAGCAGTCACCCCTCATTTACATTCGAGTAAATACGGTAATACAAAATGCAATGTTGCTGCTACTGCTGCTGTTGGTGTTTTTTCTTGTTGGCCATCCTTTGTAGCCAGAAGTCTTCCATTTCACGGCTCGATCGATACCACTCATCCCGCCCTTCCCGCATAGCCATTGTACGTAAGAAGTCAATTGCCTTCAATGCTTCCTCATCTGTTACCTCATACTCGTCCTCTTGTGTCTCAATTACTCGATCAACTACGCCTTCTAAAAAGTCATCCAGGTTGACAAAACGGCAAAACTCGTCGTACGTTAGCCCCGGTGGCACTGAGACATCCTGCATGCCAGTTACACCTGCTCCCCCTCGTGGCAAAGGTGTTCCACACAATGGAAGCCCCACCTGAGCAAACACACCGGAGACAGTATCTCCTTTGACAGAATCCCATGACTCTCGCACCAAATACAGTGCATCAAGTACTGTTGTTTTTCTAATTAAGTCAGCAGCACGTGTATTTCTCTGAACCGTCAGAGATGCTGAGACCCGACCATACAACCGGGAACGATAGTGGGCTTTAAGATTGCGTGCAACCCCCTTGAGTATTGGCTGTGGATGGAAATAGAGGCGAACATTTTCCAAGTGTGCACTCGATGTGTGAGCTGGGGTGTTTTCAACAAGTAGGAGCACACTCCGCTGGTGAAGACCCAACTGCCAATCCCAGAATGACAACCACTCTGTGAAAATGGCAGCATTCATTCGTGCCTTTTGTGCAAACTTACAAATGAGTGGCAGCCGTGAAGGGTCGTCTGGAAAGGACCGCGATGCTCCACTGTCTCCAACTAGTAGCAATGGCCTCTTTTCTGTTCCAGTCAGATTAGCACAAATCAGAAGTGTGATGCGCTCAGTTGCCTTCTTGTCTTTGACCAACTCCTGCTGGCAGCGATCAGCTGGGTACGCTGAGTAATAGAGCGCAGCTTCAGCAGCGGCAAAGACATTGTCGGCCGAGTACTGCTTTAAAAGTGCCACAAGTTCTGCACTGGAAACCCAATGAGGAGGGGTGGAAGCACTTACGCCACTCAACTGGGAAGAGTGGTGCTGGGAGCCCGAGGATTCCTTTCGTGGTGTTGACAATCCATGGCGCTGTTTCCAACGGCTGAGCCAGCCATCAGATGGCTCAAAATGATGGCCTTTCTGGGCAGCCAGTAAGCGTGCTTTTTCCTTTATGTCATTGCCCGACAGGCGAGACCCTTGAGCAACCTGGTTCTGAAACCATGTATACAGTTCTTCTCCTACCTGGCGCTCCTTGCCTTCACGCCGCCGTTTTCGATCATGATTGCTGTCTGTTTCAAACTGGAGTAGGATTTCTTCAGACTTCTGCCTCAGAGTGCAATGAAAAGGAAGAAAAGCAGAGATTACATACAATCCAAACAAGGTTCATTAGAAAGGTACAAGGGCACAAAAAGCTTGAATTCTGAAAGCAAAGGTTTAACATTCTGTGTTCTAGCCATGTTTCCGAGCCCCTCATCAATTTTTTAAAAGCTTAGGGTCCTCAGTTTCGTGGACCAAATTTTTTAGATCACAATTTTATATGACTCGTATACTTTTATTGGCACGAAAATGTAATGTATCCAAAGCAGTATTTGCCACAGTTAGCAGAAAGATACAATTCATATGCACTACTTAATAAATACGCTAGTTAATAATTACATTTCTTTTATTCCGATCAGCAATATCTGCCACGCCTGATCACTGCTGAAGCACTGTGGGTGTTTACAGAAGTACGCAAATGAACTGAGCGTAAGATAGTGAAGGAGCTCTAGTTCTCTTATTTGAAAACCATTTCATGGCTGATGCTTTCACTAGACATCCAGCGTAATTATTCAAATGTCAACTTGCAGCTAGACATTTTTGTAAACAACTGAAAGATTTCCTAGTGACAAAAAGAAAGTGATTGAAACACTCGATTTATCTTTCTTTAAATGCCTTCTTGAATAATAATAATAATAAAATGACCTAGCAGTGTAGTTTTCTAAGCCAGTTGGCACATGATGTGAAGTGAACCTACCCGGCACGTGTAGTGAACCTACACGTGCACTCAAGCTTCGGTGATGCTGGTTTTCAAACAGGGAGACCTGATGGCAGCAAAGGATGAAATGATGGGGTTGCTTTGAGTGTGTTCTCAGAAAAAAAAAAAAGCACTTCTAGGGTAAGCAGCCAAACAACAGTGTGAGAGGGCTAACGAACAATAGTCGTCACCAGGAGGCAGTCGGGGTATTGTGCGCGCCCTGCAAATGTTCTCTGCTGTCGACAATACCTGTCTGACCTCTGCAACGTCATGCGGGGACTCACTCGCTGTATTCCGTGCCGACCACTTGTGCCCTCGCGATTTCCGACGTCAGCGTAGCTCTGGCCGACTGGGCTCGCCCTACGTCATCTCCTGACGCCGACCTCCGACGACAGTGTAGCTCTGACCGACTGGACTTGTTCTACGCCATCTCCTGACGCCGACAAGAGCTCTCGCAAGTGGAGCCCCGTCCTCGTACTCCTGTGACCGTGTTTCCATCTTTCCTATCTCTCCTATCCCCTTTATATGTCGTCGCTCTCACGCTTTCACGCTTACTTCATCTCTCTTTCTCTCTCTCTCTCTACACCTTTATTCCTATCCTTTTAATCCCTCCTCACCCCCATCCCTTGTGAGCTACTGTTGAGGTGTCGCTCCCTGAAACAGACAGTTACGGGGCTCACTTTTCTTTTCTTTTCCTTCTTACAACATAAACACTTGCCCCCCCCCCCCCCCCCTGTTCATGTCAAACCACAGAAAATGTCGAGTGGACTTGAAAACTCGGGTGAGCACTCACCCTTACTTTAAAACCAAATTAAAATATCTTATAGGCAACGCTCATCACTAATAATGATTCGGTCAGAAGTGTCCCTACATGCAGAACTCTCAAACACTACAAGCATATAGGGTTTCCAAATTTTGTGTCGGGGGTCCTTCAAGATAAAGAAAGAGGTTTGGAACTCGTTAGATACTAGTATGTTTACATGACTGTGCTGTAGGCTCTCTACAAATGCAAAGTGTAGAGAGCCTAGTATTCTAGGGATGATGATGATTAGTGGAGTTTATTGGCGCAAGGGCCAGATGTGGCCAAAGAGCGCCAGAACGATGATAATGAATTGTACGATATGCAGTGTAGATAAAACAGATATGATGTGGCTGTAAATGGGCCTAAAAAACAGTCGCTGTAGGTGCGTAAAAATATATATATAGTAAGATTATGGCAATGACAAATGATGTGTGCTATGGAGATATAAAATGGTTTAAAAGTGATATGTATGTGAAATAAAAACTTGGGATGGAGCACCAGTGCCTCGACAGAACCCTTAAAACAAGAGCATGGAGGCCTGGGCTCATTAAAGGCTGCTATCACAGCGGTATCCTCTGAACAGAGGACACGCTATGAACCTGTTTGGCTAAAAACATTCAATGTTGGGCTAAAAACATTCAATACTACATCCTTTAAAAGCTTAAAACAGATTTTGCATCGAAAAGCGGCTCTTCGCCGAGGAACATTGTCGGATGTAAAGGAAGATTATAGCGGTACGCTAAAGCAAAATATTTTTTTCTCTCACTTTCAGCTTCCGGACACTCCAGGAGGACGTGGAGGACGGTTAGCCTCTCACCACATCTACCACAAGTAGGAGGCTCATCGCCAGTCAGAAGAAAGTTATGAGTACCATAAGTGTGTCCTATTCTGAGGCGACAGAATAGGACATCAGTTCGCCGTGTTCTTGTAGCGGAGGACCAGTAACCCAACCGCGGCTTAATCAAATGAAGCTTATTATTTATTTCTGTGTCCCACAAGCGTTGCCAGTGGTTTCGCAGTTTCTTTCGTAGAAAGGGTTTTAGATCTGTTGCAGGGACAGTAGCGGTGGGGTTAATAGCGCGCATTATAATTGACGTGGCCATTTGGTCAGCTAACACATTGCCTTCGATACTTCTATGGCCAGGTACCCAGCAAATAGTGACATGCTGGTTGGACATATACGCTGTACACAGAACGGAATATAGCTCAATTATTATCGGATTTCTGAATCTGAAAAGGGATCTTAATGCATTTACGACGCTTAACGAGTCTGTGAATATAATTGATTTTTCTATGTTTGATTTCCGTATATGCTTCACAGCGGACAATAGTGCATAACCCTCAGCCGTAAATATACTTGTTTCCGGGTGCAGCACGCCGGATTCCGAGAAGGATGGTCCGACGGCTGCATAAGCCACCCCTGCATGCGACTTAGAAGCGTCAGTATAAAACTCTACGCATGAGTAGTTGGACTGGAGTTCTCGGAAATGCATTTTAATATGTGCTTCTGGTGCGTGTTTAGTGATCTCAACAAATGAGGTGTCACAGTGTATAAGCTGCCACTGCCACGGCGGTAAAAGTATCGCTGTGGGCGTAGGACAGAGTTCCAGCAGCGGAACACCCATTTCCTCACATAAGTTTCTCACCCGCAGGGAGAACGGCTTTCTCACTGTGGGTCGATTATGGAAGAGGGTGGCAGCGGTCATATCGTTTATAGTTGAATAAGATGGATGCTTGATGTTTGCACGTACCTTTATAAAATATGTGAAACTGCTATAGGATCGCTGCAGGTGAAGTGACCACTGATTCGACTCTACATAGAGGCTCTGGATCGGGCTTGTCCTGAAAGCACCGGTTGCAAGTCGGATACCCAAATGGTGAACGGGGTCTAGAATTTTTAATGCACTTGGCGTTGCGGAATGATAAATTATAGAGGCATAATCAAGGCGCGACCCGACAAGGCTTTTGTATAACTTCAAGAGGCACTTTCGATCACTACCCCATGTTGTACGTGATAGGAGCTTTAGGAGGTTCATCGCTTTCAGACATTTCATTTTTACATGTTTAATATGGGGAATAAACGTGAGCTTAGAATCTAAAGTAGTTCCTAGGAATTTATGCTCGCTTCTCACAGAGAGTTGGCCTCCCTTGATCGTAATATTTGGAAGTGGCATTACCCCTCGTTTGTTGGAGAAGAGTACGCAAGTACTTTTCTCGGTGTTTATTTTAAAACCATTCTCATCCGCCCATTTAGAGAATTTATTCATTCCAAGCTGCACTTGTCGTTCGCAGATAGACATATTGCATGATTTGAAACTCATCTGCACATCATCAACATACACCGAATAAAACATCGTACTTGGAATGACTGAGTGCAGGGAGTTCATTTTTACAAGAAAGAGTGTGCAACTAAGCACGCCCCCTTGCGGAACACCAGTCTCTTGGGTAAATGATCTAGAGAGAGCATTTCCCACTTTTACGCGAAAGGTTCTGTTAGACAGATAACTTTTAATTGTGTTTAGCATGTTCCCATGGATGCCCATGGCGGCAAGATCGCGTAGAATCCCGAATCGCCATGTGGTATCGTACGCTTTCTCCAGGTCTAAGAATACCGAAAGTACAAACTGCCTATGAATAAATGCATCTCTGATATATGTCTCTATGCGAACAAGGTGGTCTGTTGTCGACCTCCCCTCTCTGAAACCACACTGAAGGGGGTCTAGTATACTGTTACTTTCTAGGAAGTGGGTTAAGCGCCGGTTTAACATTTTCTCATATAGTTTGCACAAACAGCTTGTTAACGCGATTGGCCTGTAGCTGGCGGCCAAGGATGGGTCTTTGCCTTGTTTAAGTACCGGGATGACTATCGCTTCTTTCCATGACAATGGAATATATCCAGCTTCCCACATGGTATTGAAGAGGGTTAGGAGCGTTTTTAGTGCTTCTGGGTGAAGATACTTGATCATTTCGTACGTTATACGATCGCCACCTGGCGCCGAGTTGTTGCAGTACGCAAGAGACGCCTTAAGTTCGGCTAATGAAAATGGGCAGTTGTAAGCCTCTCTGGAGGGACGTTTAGATTTAAGGGGTTGCCGCTCTTCGCGTTCTTTGAATCTTAAGAACGTTTCTGTGTAGTGCGATGCACTCGAGACGCATTCAAAGTGTTCGCCTAGGCAGTCTGCCTGCTCCTCCAGGCTCTCCCCTTGGCTACTTACCAAGGGTAGGGGGTGTGACTCCCGACCCATTAACTTCTTTACCCTATTCCAAACCTTCGTTTCATCGGTGTAAGAGTTTATACCGGAGATGTACCTATTCCAACTTTCTTTCTTTGCAAGACGACGCGTTCTTCTGGCTTGGGACTTAACCTGTTTGAAATTGTTGAGGTTTTCAGCCGTCGGGTAATTTCGGAGTAGTCTCCAAGCTTTATTTTGTCTATTGCGTGCTTTCCGACAATCGTCGTTCCAAAATGGGATGCGACGTTTATTGGTCATTCCGTTGGTCTGCTTG